GTATTCATTAAGACATTTGAAAAATGGGGCTGGAGATGGGCTCTGGTTAAAAACACTTGCTGCTCTTGCAGAGGACCCAGTTTCAGTTCCCAGCATCCATATGGGGACTCAAAACCGTCTGTATATCCAATTCCATGGGATCCAATGCCCTCATCTGCCCCCTAAGGGCACTGGGCACACATGTGGTACACATCCATACATGCAGAAAAATATTCTCACATGTTAAATAAAAAGTAAAAAACTGAATAAATAAGTTTTAAAGAAAGCCAGAAAACTGAATGCAGAATATAAATTCATCCTGCTATGTAAAGACTTCACTTCTCACTCATCCTATTAGACTCTTCAAAAATTTTCAAACACACGGAAAACTTGAAAGAATCATAACATTAATCCTCTTATATCAGTCCAAAATTGAATCCTGATTTTCACTTTATCACATATAAATCCCTATATTCACTTATCACTCTAACTTATTTTTAGTGCATTTCAAAGCAGTCTGCAAACATCAGTGCTTCACTCCTAAGCATGTGGAAACACACAGGCAGGGTGTGGTTCTCAGAACCAAGTCTGGATGTCTTAGGAATAGGACACATTAGACAGCTAAGTTAACTGAGCTAATGGAAAGTTTAGGTACAAATTACCTAGGTGTTTTTGAAAAGCTGTTTTGAGTGAAATGCTAACAAAACTACAATGCTGCCTCAGTATACCGGATTTTATACCCTGAAATTGCAAATCTCCATCTAATTCTGAGGAAATGGCTAACCACACCCCTTACCCACAAGGATCCAAGTCAACATACTCTCATATGAATAAGCCACATGGAAGGAACAGCACATATGTGTAGATCCAGAGGAGAACTTTGGGAGTTTGGTCCCTCCTTACTCCATGTGGGTCCCAGGAATCAAATTTAGATCATCAAGCTTGATAGAAAACACCTTCCCCTGTGGTAATATTTTGTTTATGCTGTAACAAATAGAACTCACCTAAAGATCAGCGTGCGGAACTAAGCCACTAGTTAGCCATAGAGGCCAGGCAGTGGTGACACACACCTTTAATTCCAGCACTCCCAGCACTCTGGAGACAGAGGCAGATGGATTTCTGTGAGTTCAAGGCCACCCTGGGCTACACGAGATTGAATCTGTCTAAAAGAGAAACAGAGCTCCCAGCACTTGGGATGACATGTCTTTAATCCCAGCACTAGAGAGGTGGAGACAGGAGTGGTATGGCTGGGCAGAGAGAGGAATATAAGGCAGGAGGAGACAGAAGCTCAAAGGCAGTCTGAGGATTTGCAGAGACAGGGCAGTCTGAGGATGTAGCCTGAGGAAGCAGTCTGAGGGCAGAATCACACCTTTGGTCTGAGCATTGGTAGAGGTAAGAACTTTAGTAGTGGCTAGTTTCTCTGCTTCTTTGATCCTTCAGCTTTCACCCCATGATAGCGGATTCTGAGTTTTTATTAATAAGACCAAAGAGAATTCGTGTAACATTTACCCACTGAGCCATCTCATTAGCCCAGGACTCAGGAAAACTGGGATCTTCCAATACCCCAAGGATTGGAAACCAATACCCAGTCACATCTAATAGTTGAAAGACATTTTACTTTCTTGTTAATTATTCAATAGAATTCTTAAGACATTTACTCTCAAAGCCAAAATTAACAAATCCAGGACACAAGTCTCTTCCATTGGTTCAGCATGCCGTTAAGAGTTCCCTTTTACAAAGCCTATAAGAACGATGGTTAAGTTATCCACTCGGTGATTTATATGTGATCTTTCTAAAGGAATTTGTCTTTACTTTAATTCTGGGAAAGATGTAATTTTTGTATAAGAAATTTAGTGTGTAAAAGTCAGTTTTCCCCTTATTTTGAAGAAAAATATATTGCAGTAATTCCATATGACCACGAGGGGGCAGAGGCTAAAAGCAAAAATCTAGTAAGTGCAACTGAAGTCCCATTTTAATGAATCTTCCTTCATTGAAATCCATGTAATTGGATTCCAGTGGTCTTTCAATTAAGTTTATAAAACATTTTGGGTGCCTTTATTTCTGTCATTATGTCCAGAACCTTGGGAAAGGATTGTGTGCTTATTTTGTTGAAACACACAAAAGCAAACATTATGGAGTGGTCTGGGGAGAAATGCAGTCAAAAGTATTGATTTCTTTGAGCTAGACACAGAATTTGGCTTTTGAATTTAATCTCACATGTCAATCTGATGGGAATGACTTAATTTTCCAATCATCAAAAAGTTAAGTTCAGTATTTCACAACAGTAGGTATTTAACCATTTTTTATATTTGCTTTTTTATATGAATGCTGTTTTAGTGCAACTGGGCGAGTTCTTTGGAAATTAAGTCCACCTACTGATGTGTCTGTCTTAGGTATAACGTAGTATTGTATCAATGCTTCCTTGGGTCACCACTCTCACAGAACACAGAATGCCTGCTATTAAAATATTTAGACTTTGTAACCAGTTCTCGTGTGACCTCTCTGACCTCTAGCTTCCTTTTAATAGACTTTAGTGCAGACTGTCAGTACCACTATTACTCTGCCATGGTGCTGAAAGCAAGGCCCACCTGTTCGGCTGAGATGAAGCCAGTACACAGCAGTGTCCAGGCCACTGAACCTTTAACTACTTGTGCTATGAGGTTCCATTAGGGAAACTGGGGCTCCTTGACACATCCCTCGGCAAACCGGTCAAGCATCAGTCTATTGTTTGCCATTCTACATTCTCACTAATGCATCACATTTGTCTTCAGAAAAATCCTAAGAGGCCCCTGGCAAATCTGACTAGACAAGAACCTATTAATCAGCTCCTTCCTTGCCCTCTTCTCCTGACGTGTGTTTGGCAGGACAGAGGATGTGCGAGTTGCATGTTTGTTGGCCCCTGGCCCAGGGCATTTCCAGCACACAGCATCCCTTCAGTGTTCTGGCTTGGGGATTCCAGGCAGACTCTGCTCCTTCGGTCAGGGGTGCAGAAGGCTGCTCTGGTTCTAATGCAGCCAGAAGGTGCACTTTGGCCTTTTGGTCATTTGAAAATGTATGAGTTCACATGAGTATTTCATTTTCCATTATTCCTCAAAATCTGGCAGCTATAGGTGGAAACTGAGCAGTGTCTGTCCTACTTACAAAAGCTTTCTCAGGCTTTAGGTATGGCTTCCCTTTTCCTCCCTACAGCTTTACAGCTCCAGGTCATTAACTCTGGCTTGTTTTGTTTTGTTTTTCAAGAAAAAGCATGAAAACAATTCTCTGTGTATAACCTGTCCTGCATGGAAAAAATCTGGCAACGCTGGACAAGCCAAAACAAAACAATGCAAAAAAATATATACTGCATTCAAGAGGCTCTCATTTGCAATGTCTGGTTGAACAAAGAATTTACCATCACTCCTCTTGGCATATGACTCTAGGGAGAATTTTCTTGTTGTAGGGATGCTAACTAAATGTGATGATACCAGAGCTTACCAGTCAAGTTACCCATCCATAAAAAGACATAATTTCACAGTAGCAAGATCTAATGCTTCTAGGTTATATGGCTAGGCTCCTGTTTTTCCTACTTGATGTCTAGCCTGGTACCAGGGCTTATTTTTCTTTCACCAATCCCAGGGAGAGCAGCTATACTGAAGAGTCCTAATGAACGAACAGGGCTATTTGTTAAGTTAAAGATGATCTGGGGGACTGATTCAAAGCCAGCTCTGAGGTTGGAGGAGGAAGATCATGAGTTGAAGGCCATCCACAGCTACAGACTAAGGCTCTGTTTCAAAAATGAAAAGCCATGATTTGGGGGAAGAAGAGAATATGAATCAGTGATGTCATCTCTATTTTTGTCTTCCTTTGGTAAAATTGTATTTGAAGTTATATGCCCAAATGTCACAGTGTTGGTGTCCAGATGACATGTGGGGAAAAATACATTGCTACTGTACCTTATAAATGCACTGCATAGAAAAATGCTAGGATAAAGACATCACAGGTGAAACTCACTGTGGACATGGAGAGCAAGTCTAAAACAGCTGGCAAGCACTTGAAGTGTTGGAAAGCATTGTTGAAATACTATGCAATTATAGAGGCAATTATTTTATAAGGATCGGCATTGAGTCAACAGACTTTATTTAATGTTTGCTTGGAATAGAACATAGCTGCTGGAGTGGGTGGAATGAAGGGCTCATGAGTCTTGACACAGTTATTATCATCCATTGGTAATGTCACAGAACCTTAACTGTTTCACACATTCACTTATTTAGCTTGTACCAAAAGGTGTTCTAGGTACTTAGTAAACATTGACTGTTTTGATCCTGGAAGAAATCTTATAAGACAGACATTAGTGTGATCCCAAATTTATCTATAGCATTGTGGATAAAGATGGGGAGACAGCACAGAGAGCTAAGTGACTTGCTAATGGCATACTGAATTCGATTTGAGGATACCTGGCTCCTAAGCCTGCACTCCACACACCCACCACATCAACTCTTGCTGTGGCATGGAAGCTGATGGCATGAAACCAGATGTCCTACTATCCCCTTCTATGTTATTTATCCAGCAGCCAGGCTCAGATATATTTATGTAGCTCACTCAAGTGTGTATTTCACGAGGGCTATCAAGCCCAGGACATCCCGGCCAGAAAGGCTTAGTTGACCTTCTTCTTCACTGCTATAGCAGGGCTCTGCTGAATCCTGGACAGATTCATGTCTTTATGGTCCCTTCTTTGCATTACATTTGCTACTGCTCTCTCATTTGATGGAAGCATACATACCACCTGGTCAGATCCAGGCACAGTGCGGGAAGGCTCTATCCAAGAGCATGGGCAAATTGGAGTGGAAACCAGAGCCTTCTGTGCAATTAACAGGCCACCTTTGTGATTTCACACTGTGCTGCATTCATCTTGCTTTCCAGACAGTTTCAAACTTGATATTTCTGGCTCCAAAAAAAAATGTGAAAATGCCAATTCTTCCTTGGTATAGGAAGACAATAAAAATAGTATGCAACAGAAAGTTAAAAGGTGTTTCTGTTTTTAGGCTGATCCCGGGGAGACATCATCAGAAGCACCAAGTGAAACCAGGACAACTCCAGCAGAAAATGGGGTGAATCACACAACATCCCTTGCACCCAAACCACCTTCCCAGGCTCCGCACAGCCAGCCAGCTCCAGGTAAACAGTGGGGACAGAGCTATTTGCTGGATGTCCAACCTTCAGCTTCTGGGGCCTCGACAGAAGGCTATAACACTGAGAGAAGAAAGCATGCCCTAGAGTGACATGAGTGAGTGGGTAGCAGGTTGGATTCACGGATGAATGTCACAGGACCACTCAGATTCACACCTGGCCCCGCTGACATGCTAAAATCTACCAGTTTCGTGGATTGTTATTTCAGGGTGAATTATGAACCACCCACTGATGGACTTGAGTTTGTGAAGCATTCTTCAAGAAACTTACAACTGTGCCTTAGAAGCATATTCTTCCTTCTCCTTCAAGTCTCTGCCAACATGTGACTTTCCATTAAGCATAAATGTCTGCCATGTTAGACTGTCTGCTAGGCCATGCATGTGGGTTAGGTCATTTCATCATCATTCCAGTCCTCCACGGGGTGTGTTCTGTTGTCATCTCATTTGGGAGGTGATGAATTTCCTAAAAGGCACAATGCCAGTGAAGGAAATTCCAGGTCAGACATAATACCCAGTACCACGAAAAAGCTTCTACTCTTCAACAAGGCTACACTCAACTGTCTCGTTTCAGAGACATCTATCATGTCACTGCAACTTATGTTGGTATTTCATCTCACTCTGGTTAATGTGTGTGTGTGTGTGTGTGTGTGTGTGTGTGTGTGAGAGAGAGAGAGAGAGGGGGAGAGAGGGGGGAGAGAGAGAGAGAGAGAGAGAGAGAGAGATAACATGTAGAGTTGTGTGTGTGTGTGTGTGTGTGTGTGTGTGTGTGTGTGTGTGTGTTCCCTTTAACAGATGGAAGCCTTCCTGAGAGCAGGTTCAGCTTCATGCATCTTCTGCAGTCACCCAAGAGCTATCGCATGAACCATCTAGCGGCGTTCTGGGGGTGCATACATACCCTATTTCCCCTTACACTTTGCTCAGTGATTTGGGTGTTGATAATGGTTCTTGTCTGCAAAAATTGGTACTGCCCTTTGGTTTGCATTCAGCCTTTAATTACATCATTCTCAATATTGCCAGAAGATGGCAGTAGCACCACTGAGATTGAATTTCTTGTTTTGAAATTTTAATTACAAGTGGAAGGATTTGTGGAAAATAACATAGGATTGAGTCAAACTTACAAATTAAAGAAGTTTTGGAGTAATTTTGTTTTAAAAAAAATTTTCTACCACAATTAGCTGTTGTCTCTAAAGAGACCTAGAATCAAAGGATACTAGAGATGAAACCCAGATGGCCAAGTACTCTATTACTTAGCTACAACCCCAAGTCCAAATATTGCTTTTTTAAAATGGGATAACATCTGAAAAACAAAGAAGGCCATTTCTTTGATCTTTTTGGTTGCAGGTTCTGTAAAGGCTCCTGCCAAAACAGAAGACCTGGTCCAGAGTGTGTTAACAGGTGAGTGCTAGCCTTTCCTTTGCATGGAAGTCCAAAACTGAACATGGCACAGTGAGTGTTTAGAGGGAAGGAGAGTGCCATTTGTCTCTGAAAACCAGCATCATTAAATATTTTAGGTTTGTAGACATCTAGCCTGAGTTTGGTCATAATGTCCAATACATCATCTGGCCCCAGCATGGTCACATTGTCTAACGTAAAGTCATAGAGAAGTAACCAGAGTTGGCAGACAAGACCCTATTGGCTAAAAATAATAGTTTCTGAAGATAACCTATTTCAAAAAATAATAATTTCCTCCTTACTTTGAGAGCCAGTTAACAGAGATGTGTGTCTCCCAACAGTATTTAAGATTGGCATTTCTGATATATATATATATATATATATATATA